CGATAAAGAAAAATAAAATACTGACTTTATGAGGAAATGGCGGTTACAAACATGCCCGGTATGGGAAAAAATACGATTTTTGGGGGTTCTTATGCCATGAAATCGTTGTAGGAGAGGCGGAGGAAGCTAAAAATGCCTACAACTCAAATTCGATGATTTTGAGCCGAATTTTGATTTTGGGGGTGTAGCCCCCCCCCCTCAAAGAGAAACAAGAAAATATTGAGCTAAAATCGAGATAGTTTAGCGCCTCGGCTAAAATCCATTACAGGGGACATGTATAAATTTGAAGATAATTTCTTTGTTTCAGCTTTTAAAAGAATAATTTCTTGTGTAGGCTACTATATAATATATAACACACAGACATTCCCATTGTCAAAGAGATGCGAAAAGGCAAGTTTTCATGAAAGATGTAGATTCCTAGGCAGCTTAAAAATCTTTCTTAAGTAAGTAACTTTTATTCTGGGTTTTTTCCCAGGCAATTGGCCAACATCACATCTAATGAAACACTTGTGGTTAAAATACATTTCCATCTCTTTTCATAGATCAACCATTGCATATTTCTGTCACTGGGCCGAGTCAGGCTGGGAGGAATTAACAATTTCCTTTTTAGGCTTAATTTCGACAATATAGAATAAATGCAAATTCTTCTTCAATTTCATGAGTCACACCTCTCACCTTAAAGTAAATTTAGAAATTTCCACCGATGAAGATTGTTATATAATGGAAGGCTAGTGGGGATTGATGATATGTTCAGCTGTTTTTTTTTAACGGAATTGAAAGGGAGAATAAATTATACTTGTGAGAGACTTCTTCCTCTATGTTCTACACTGAATGATCAACAAGCAAATTTCTATTATAGTTTTTTTTTTTTCTTTACTTCACTGAGAAATAATCTGTAAATCTAGTACTATATGTACTTCGAACACTTTCAGAAAACCAGACATGTCCCAACCCCAGAAAGACTAATAGGTTTTTAACTTCAGCAGCCCAATTGACTCTGCCACATTCACAACAACGATTTAATCGTATGTGCATTTAAAACCTTTAATAGAGAAATAAAGGTAAATTAATCAAATTATTATTGCAAACCGAAAAACGATCAATAGCAAATTTGTGCGCACATTTTAGCAAACCTCCCCTATTTTTTCGGGTAGTCTTATTATGTTATATAACAGTCGACTTGAGTCGACACACGTATTGTCTTGCACAACATAAGGTCAGCCCGGGGAATCGATCCTGGTGTTGTCTTCTTTTCTTACTTGTGTCTCTCTGTGGTATAATGATTTATTGGTATCGTCTGTGCTATAAGTGGGTGTTTGGCGGGTGCTGTGGTGTGGTTTGCTTCTTTTTTTCTATCAAACATCTATCGTCTTTATCTCCCCTCCTTCTTTTTGTGTTTGTTACTCTCTTGCAACACCTCTAATCTTCGGCACTTATATGACCTTATTGTGTTGCAAGTGCCGTAAAACACTTACTAAAAAAAAAGTCGGTGCTATGGCTATTTGGGAACTTGTTTCAAAGGTAGATAACTTTTTGCTTCCTTTTAGTTCACAAGTTATGTTAAGGTTACGTCCCTTGGGAATGAATACGTCTATGCAAAATAAAATGGCACCAAGTTTAGCGCCCCTATCAACACTATTGGGTTATTTGAGAGGCGGCCAATGCAATAATAATAATAATAATAATAATAATAAAAATAATAATAATAATAATAATAA